GAGTGAGGGCCGCGGGAGAACGAGAATACTACAGGTTTTCTACTAATACAAAGCTTAATGCTAAATCCTGAAGTATCCCTTTAGTCGTTTTATACTTCTTTTTTGGGAATTTCAATTCCATTTCGTCCATTAACTTTTGCCTACGCTGTCGTCTTCTTCTAGCGCTTCTCCCTTTCTTTACTATAGCCGTCATAACTTTCACCTCCGCTTGTGATTTTAACACTTTCTCTTCACCCCCTGCACCCTTTCGTTGACCTTTATTTTTGGTTACTAACAGCAAGTCCATGCACTTAAGTTTTCCTTTTCCTGCACAAATTTCCCTCTTTTTTTTTCTTTTTTTCAAACCATAATAAATAAAAGAAGTCAAATGCAGTTGTTTCTACCCTACATGTATGTCACAAAGTATTTTAGGTACTTCCACTCATTATAGCATTCAAGCATTTTTATATTTAACCATGTATGGCATTACTTTAAAGCAAGCAAAATATAGTACAGTAATATAATACAGTGGGGAGGCCTGAAACCATAATTTAAATTATATAGCCCTATAGGCTATACATCTAGCCTATACATTTGTTTTTATAAGTTGATCATGTATAAACTTGATAGTCTTGAAAGTTTGTTAACATGGGATGTGTACTACATTTGCATGACAGCAAACACAACCAAGAAAATAGCTCTAATCATGTTGTTTCAGTCATACTTCGATATACAAGACAGCAAACTCTATGGATAATAATAATAAAAAAATGTGTGTAGTACTAACCTATGTGGGCTACCTGTCTGTGTATTACATAATAAACTAAAGTAAAGTTTATATATCACATTTTCTGGCTAGTTTACTTTTATAATACGATACTTTCACCCAAACTATGGAGCTAGAATTGTGTCTTTATTAAATACGAGAAAATAAATGATCTGAGTGAAATGTTTCAGAGAAAAAGTTATCTCACTGATAGCAAAAAAGCATTTCATGAGAGAAAAATATTTGAGAGAAAGAGTTTTCATACCAATAATTAAAAATATTTTGAGAGAAAGTATTTTCTCGTAGAACATAAAAAAATATAAATTTAAAATTTGTACAATTGTTTCTGAGAAAAAAAAATCTCTCTCAAAATACTTAGAAAAAACCCCTCAAATATTGAATTTTTGCTATCAGTGTGAAAAAAGTGTTTCTCTCAAAACGCTTTTCTTTGCTCTCGATGCAATTTCTTGCTCTCGAGTCAGGATTTTGCTTTCACTGTGAAAATTGTGTCATGAGCGAGGCCACGTTCCCATTGGTCAGTCGGGTTAGCATCGTCTTGTCTTGGGAGTCGAACTAAATCATTTTTACACCATTGTTCGGTTCAAATCATCCAGCTGCCAGTAAGTTACTGCAAAATTTACAGCAACCCTTTTACAGTGACAGTACCAAAGGTCCAGCTGAAAAAAAGTTTGGGATTCCCCGAGTTAAAGAATTAATCTGTTTTGTTCGCAATATGACGTGATTTGTCATATGACAGGTATTTATTATTCAGTTTTCTTGGATTTGGGTCAGATATTTTTTAAGTTCAGAAAGGGTATTTAGTTCAGGCAGTGAATTGAAAACTTTGAGAGAAAATGCATTTAAAGGAACATAGGCTTTAATCTTTGCGTTTGATCTGTGACCCACAGACAACATGCTTTGTTTTAATACAGTAACATTCAGCAAACCGTGATGCCAAGGGAGATCAACCCAACACAACTGAAACTGACCAGACTTCTGAGATGTAGATGGAGATTGTTCAATAAACTGATAAGGCTGAACCGATCAAAATAGCTGACACTTATTTACTTATTAGTTTAAAAGGTCAAAATGTGTCTTGATGGCAACAGTTTTGGACGGCTTGTCAACTGTTATTCTTTGTTTTTGCTATGTGTGTGACATTCATTACCTCTCAGGCTCACTTGTGGATAAAAACACGTTTTGCTCTAGTTTTTACATTTTATAGATTGTAAAAACAAAATCATAGAATTTAAAAAAGGGCAACAGTCGGTTTGCATTACTTGTGAGTTAAATAATGAATTAATTTACAGATTACTAATTCAATGTTTTAGTGAATTTAAGTTGCTTTTTTACACATCTTTCTTTTAATCATTTGTGCATCCTCTCATATTTTGTAATAATTTCATGTTTAATTTAATGTGTTACTTATGTAATTATTTGTGAAATTTTCTAGCAATTTCTTAGTGAAAATTTCTTCTACACCATTTTTTCCCAGTGTATATTCACGTGGAAACAAAATACCTTTCTAAACGTGAAAACAAAACCCACAACAACTGTGTGAATAAAACTGTTAAACAGTCAAACAATGCAACCATATTAATTATTCATGCCCCAGTGCATGCTGGGAAGGGAGCCGAACCACAGAAACCTTTTTTTCAGTGTAGACCTATTTAAACTCAAAAATGCATTCATCTAACTTACCTTCTGTGCTTTAAAAGTGATGACAGAAAAAGCATTTTTAGCACTATTTACTGTAGTGCATTTATGCTTTTTGTCTAACAAATAGTTTTGTGAATAGTGCAAAATAGGTCTCTGTTTACTAATGTGTTTTTGTACAGTGCTGCTATTTTTTTATTTTTTTTAGCTGTCACATTCTACTCACATCATTCACATGTTTAATATAATTATTGTATGTTATAGATTTCTACCCTTTATTCAACACTGCATCCTTGCTAACCACTGATGCTATATATATATATATATATATATATATATATATATATATATATATATATAATACATAAATGAGAACTGTAAAATGCTATAGAAAATAGTTAGTGTGTCTTGTGAGTTTTTTGAGTTGTTTATTTCTGAAAGTAACAAAGCTTTAAATGTTGTTTTTATTCCTCCTCGTTTCCCTGCATAGCAGTGACATCACTGTCTTGGGAAACTTTGTCCAGTTTAGAATATTCATGTTTTTCTAACATGCTTAAAATCAGCTCAAAGAGATCATAAAATATTGAATGAGATTAAGGACAGAAAAAATGCCACTCATTGCATTTAGAGTTTGCTCATGGATTTGCATGTGTGTCATACAACTAATTATACTTCAGTTATATATGATAAAAATTCACAGTTTCCTTGGAATTCGAATATTGATATATCTATGCATATCATTATAATTTATTTTTAAAATTGCATTGCATAATCCGGAAGTCGGCCATTTTGGAGGCACAGAACATAAATAATTCCAATTTGAACTGAACGGACTCGCAAATTTGGATGAATATTTCTGCTGAACAACGGTCGAGTTTTGGTCTGTACTAATCGGTGGCATCGGGAAAATACCTTTCGTGTTCTATAGACTGCCAAAAGTTAAAGAGAAGAGTTTAAAAAACTGATGAAAGAAGGCGTTTGTGGTTGAGAGAAGCACAGCATCTAAAATGATGTCCACACTGTTTATCGCAAGTGTTCAGATCCGATTTGTGAGTCCATGCAGCTCTTGGGCAATACAGCACTGACATTGGCACTGATAGAGGGGTTTGCATCTGCAATAAAGATCTCCTGCTTGATATGTCCTTCTATATGATTTCGCACCTACCACGGATTTTTTTCTGTGTTTTTTTAGTGTAACAATGTGTTCAGTAGTACATTTACAGTGCAGTCCATGCTGTTGTTTACATCCGAGTGCCTCCATAATGGCCGCTCATCCGGGTTACCGCCCAGAGAACGTGACGTCGGTGAAAACCCTCTCCGTAGTTCAAGCGAGGTTCCCAGGTCTCGTCTGTGCCTCGACGCCTCTCAAAAGCTTTGCGCTTTGTTGCTTCTGGTAAGAAACAAAGCCTCAGCTTACAAATTCTGTGCATTTTATCACGCAATTCAAACAATAAATAGCGTTTTTTTTATGTTCTTAAATGTGACGTGACAGATCTCTGTAGCATCTCAGTTCAAGCGGCAGCAGAAAGTCATTGAGTCATTCTTCTTCTTTAATACAAGTTACAGCATGAAAATGCATTAATGAACTTCAAAATGTATGTTGAAAGATACAGTACAACTTATATAAATGTTTAATGTCTCATTTAATCGATAAATCAGTGTTTCAACCGTCAATAAAACTGCTTGTGAAAAATTTCACTTGACGTTGCATTTACCTCAGGTTATCCAAAGTTATCAAGTGTTCACAGTTGGTTTGTTAATTATAAAAAACACTAGAGAGAAGCTTAATTATATATGTATGTTTGAATATGTTATGAAAGCTACCTTATACTTATGCTACTGAGTACAGAGAAACAAACATTTCAGCTTTAAAAAAAAATCTGAAAATAAATAGCAACTGAATAAATAATAGGGCTCTGTTTTTCTATTTCAAACTCTAATATTATATTAATTTACCAAATGAGAGGGTTCCTTCGTTGTATAGCTTATGGCATTAGTTGGGAGAGATTTCCATTTTCAAACTTCTGGCAGATATCATTCTGAATAATCGGCTATCATATCGGCGGAGAAATTTAGAGTGCTGCTCCAATTGATCCTTTCTCATTTCCTCCCTCCATCATCCTCCTGCCCTTGAGCTGGAAACTGATCAAAATTAACCATTTTAAAGGCCAATTGCACCCCAAGGAGGCAAGGAAAGCTTCCTGAGGGGTCATGAGCGAGGATACACAGGTGTATCCTTTCCTGTCACCCATTCTCTACTTTTTAATCTAAATAACTTCCCCTTCCTTCTTGCATCAACATCTCTTCTCTTGTGACCACGGGTCACTCACATGAAATCACAGCAATATCAAACCCAAATGATCGAACCATCCTGTCTATTCCTGACGGATTGTTCGAGCAGCCATTTCACTCTAAAATACATCATAAAGAACAAAAGCCTATCGCAACGCCCATTTCATGCCAACTTTAAAATATTTGTGTAAACATGGTGATATAACATTTTAAATATGTGCAAATATGGTGTAAATTCTCTAACTTATAAAAAAATACTAAAAATGTTCAAATATGAGTTCTATTTAAAGTCTTTCTTTCTTTGCAGGGTAAACTGGTGAAGTACTTTAGTCGGCAGCTCTCTTGCAAGCGTAAAGTGTCCTTACAGGAGCGGAATGTGGACCTGGATGGATTCCCGCAGCTGGGACATTGGTTCCGCATTGTTAACATGAGGAAAGAGGTTATTGAGGTATGTACAATCCGGTATGTTTTCTCCTCAACCAGTTAAGTGCCAACAGGGGAGTGTAATATGACTAAAATCTAAAATCACGATATGAGTCATTTTATTTCACTAATAATAACGATATAACTTTTTTGCTCTAAATAAGGTTTTTATATCATCAAAAATGTTGGTACTATTGAAATTTCACAACTCTTGTCAACAATTTCAATATCACAAAAAACTAATACTAGCCTATGTAAAAAAACAACAAACAAACAATAAACCTATCGGTGACCCAATATTTTGATGGTCCCATTTAGACATTGTACTAACTGTAAGTAACATTGCACCTACATGTCTATAAACTCTCATCAGAGTATTAGTAAAGCATTAGTAGACTCTCTTTGACAAATCTCTGCTGGTTGGCGAAATTCAACCGTTAAATCGTGTCTACCCGTACATTGCCCATCCCTAACCCTGTCCCACAGTTGATTTTCCTTGTTCAACTCCGTCATGCAGTCACCTGTCAAGAGAAGTTCAGACTCCATGGATTCAGTTCAGAGTTTGAAAATATTTAATGGATGGATCCGATTGTGACAAACAGTAATGCTGTCTTTTAGTACAGTGGTCTCAAATCTGCTCACTGTCATGCAGATCTTTAGCTCAAACCAACGCCAACTCTCCTGCCTTGAAGTTTCTAGTAATCCCGAAGACCTTGATTAGCTGGATCAGGCTTGTTTAATTAGCGTTGGAGCTAAACTCTGCAGGGCATTGTACTGTAGGGAGTTTGAAACCACTGTTTTAGTATGTGCTACCAACACTAAGGTTAGGGTTAGAGGTTAGAATTTGTTCAATGTGTTTTAGACATGACTAACAACATCTTTAGAATCGTCCACAGGGCGACATGATATTCTGAATCTGCGCTAAATATTGCAGATATATTGCGTAAGTAAATGTCTCTAAATATTTTCCTGACAATTTTACTCCCCTTAAATTTCTAAAAACAATTATATTGGTTTAATTACACTCTTAAAAATAAAGGTTCCCGTTCTTAAAAGACCCATTTTTTGTCTTAGTGTAAAGAACATTTAAATAATCTAAAGAAACGATTTCCACTATAGAGAACCTTTTGTGCAATGGAAATTTCCATGGATGTTCAAGACTCTTCATGGAAACTTAACAGTGCTACATTATATAGTTTAATTAGTTAATTCCAAGTTGAGATTGATAATAGGAAATTATCAGAAAAAGATCTTAATAAAATCTTTATAAAGCTAACAAATTAAACACATTTCAGAGCTGTGAAATGTATTATAAGCTAATACCGGTATGTCTATACAGAGGGAATTAAGAAAAATGGCAGAAAACTAATAGGAAATAAATAGAAAAAGTAGATATTGTACACTAAAGTGAAATTCAGACATGAGTGTATGGAGAGATTATGTAGAATTATATGTAAATGTGTCAGTTGGCCAGTGAGGGCATCTTTATGAAGGATCAGGATGCTTTCCCATGCAGTATATTTCTAAATATTTTCCATCTAATGGGAAGAAACATTGTAAACAGAAGGTCTATAACAGAAGATACAGGTTTTTCTCATGTGTCGCTGTCCTTAGTGCTGAAATGTTGGCGCTGTCCATTTTGCTGAAGCCCCCTGCTGATATGGAGGAGGAATTGCAAGTATTTAGAGTGCAACAGTCGGTTTTTGGAATGAAAATGTTCATATTCATTTGTCCTTTTCCAATATCATTCATATTTTTCTCCACAGGGGAACTGACTTTGAACATTAACTTAACATAAACATTTAAAGACCTAAATATTGTGAACTGCAAGTTTTTTTAAGCCTTTAGCCCTCATAATTTTTATTTATTTGTTTCCGTATATATTATCTACATCTTTAAATCAATAGTTTTATATTATATCATTTGAAGTGCTTCATGGGATTGTTGTTCTTTCTCTCAATAAAGCAGTTTAAGTGCATAGTCTTATTTGCAATTTTGTTCGATTTCAAATTCTTTTTGATTCAAGTTAAAGTTTTTAATGCTTGATTTATGCACTGTAAAAAAATAGGTTCATGATTTGTAATCACAACATTTTTTCTTTTGTCAAATCAACTTAAATAATTTATGTGGTTCAGATAACATAATATTTTGAGTTTATGATGATTAAATCAATCTCGTACAATACAAATTGTATTAACTCAATTTTTTCATTTCAATGAACTTGAATTTTTAAGGTAACCAGGTTACTTAATTTTTTAAGTTAAACCAACACTTTTTTTTTTACAGTGTGGCTTATAACTCTTAAACAGACTTTTTTAAGATCCCAATGGAAAAAGTGAATGGGGAAAATACTTCTGGAACCAAGGCCATGCATGAGAAGAGTAAATTTGTATGAATTAAAAGCTAAGCTGGTATTTATTTTACACATCTCCCAAGAAGAAAAAAGAAAAAAGTTGAGTGTTTAATATTTTAATTTTAATGTATGTCAACCTGTAAGAAAAGCACTTAACCTCAGGTTGCTCCAAGGTTGTAAGTTTATTATAATTTACTGTTAAATAACAGCATTAGTAATTGATGTCATGATGTCATGAGTTTTATTAAATAATAAATACATTTCATGATTAATTTACTCAAAAAGAGGTATTATTTCAAATAATTTCCTTGTTCAGATCATACTTGTAAGATAATTTTATCATACTTAAAATATTTTTTAAACAACTCATTTATTATTTTTATTTTCTGTCCATAAATGCCCTCTGTATATTTCTTCTGCAAATTCTCTTTGATTTTCCCATATTTTTTTTATTATACTATTACATATTTTCAAAGTCTCTAATGCAAAAGCTGAATTTATTTAATATAAGAAAATACAGTAAAAACAGTAATATGGTGAAATATTATTACAATTTAAAATAACGGTTCCCATTTTGATATATTTTAAAATGTAATTTATTTCTGTGATCAAAGCTGAATTTTCAGCATCATTACTCCAGTCTTCAGTGTCACATGACCCTTCAGAAATCACTCTAATACGCTGATTTGCAGCTCAATAATTTTTTTTATTATTATTAATATTGGCAACTGTTTTGCTGCTTAATATTTTTTGTGGAGATGCATTTTTCAGGATACTTTGATGATTAGAAAGTTCAAAAGAACAACATTTATTTAAAATAGAAACATTTTATAACAATGTGAAAGTCTTTACTTTCACTTTTGATCAATTGAATGCATCCACACTGAATAAATCTATTAATGTCTACGTTAATTTAGTATTAACTTTACAAAAAAAACATACTGACCCTGAACTTTTGAATAGTAGTGATGGCGCAGTGGATAAGACACATGCCTTGGGTGTGAGAGACCCGGGTTGGAATCCACTGTGAGACACCAATGTGTCCCTGAGCAAGACACGTAACCCCTAGTTGCTCCAGAGCCGTGCGACCTCTGACATGTATAGCAATTGTAAGTCCCTTTGGATAAAAGCGTCAGCTAAATGAATAAATGTAAATGTAAATACTATTTTTTGGAAGTTTTATTTCAAATCCATGTGGCTTTTCTTGTGAGGTCAACTGGCGTGTCTCAGACTCGTCTCCATCTATAATCAGGTGTGTGCGCGTGTCTTTGTTGTAGGAGATCTCCCCAGGTGAGCTGACTCTCGAGGCTCTGTTGGAGATGTCGGATGAGCAGGTGTGTGAGGCACTGCTGAAGTTTGGAGCGAGTGATGAAGAATGTGCTCGGCTCAATGCCTCGCTCACATGTCTACGGTCAGCCCACAAATCAGGTGAGTTCACAGGATGCAGCAAAAAATATCACCAGACTGTTCTGAAAGCCTTCACACAGTCCTGAATTACTGACAGTGCTATTAGAAATGTAGTGGTGACGTGGTAATATAACACACATCCATCCATCAATCAGCTTACACTTTATGGCAAAAAGAACAGAAAGGTATTAAAGCACATTGTAGGGAATTACTATAGTAGATTGTTAGAAGGGGGTATTCATAGGTTTGTTCACAGTGTGAGAGAAAAGCTCTACCGGAGAACATCCAGTAGAGGGCAACACAATGCTGAGTTTCATTATTGTGGACTGGGTTGTAAACATATCTTTATGTAACTCGGTGTCATATAATGCATCTGGTTTTACTTAATATGATTCATTTAGTGATATAGAAGGTTGTTTTTGGGTGAAGGTATTTATTTAGTATTTTAGTTTATTATATATAGGTGGGATGGACTGGGGCTTGGGGTCTTTTTAATATTTTGAAGAAAAAAAAGTCTCATAAAGTCTTTGAGACTCTTATGAGATTCTTATGAGACTCTTATAACAGCCGTTTCTGAAATACTCAGACCAGTCCTTCTTGCACCAACAACCATGCCACGTTCAAAGACACGTTTCTTCTCTATTCTGATGCTCAGTTTGAACTTTATCAGATCATCTTGACTGTTGTCTGATTATACTTTTGTTAATGAGCTAACACAGTCTCATCCCAAAAAGTCATATAACTGACATTTTGGGACGTATTTTGACCATACGTCAATATCCGCCTTTTTAGGGCCCCCTTAAACGTCGGTAGATGGCGATCCCGGGCCGTCATACAACTGACGCTTTACCTTTAACGTCAGTTAGGTGACGGGTTAGGTTTAGGGTTAGGTTTAGGTATGGGGTAGAGTTAGAATCCCATAACCTCATCTACCGACGTTTAAGGGGGCCCTAAAAAGGCGAATATTGACGTATGGTCAAAAGACGTCCCAAAACGTCAGTTATATGACGTCTTGGGATGAGACCGGGTTGAATGAGCAGTTGAACGGGTGTGCCTAATAAATTGGCTGGTGAGTGTAGTTAATATAGTACTACTATTGATAAAAAAATGAATAGTTGGAAATGATATGCACAGAAATATTTTAGAAATGTAATCATTTTTACCCTATAAAGTTCAAATTTGAAAAATCATTAGTCATAGTAACACAAATTATACATTGAATCTAATTTTCAGCAGTATATTTTATTGTTTATTGTAAATTTTATTATATTTACAGTATGTTTTCATTGCAGTTAGCTTCAGGGCTGTATGCTACACTCTTAGAAGAAAAGGTTCTATATAGAACCTTAAAAGGTTCTATCAGCACTACGTATTTGGAACCCCTAAAAGGTTCTATCCAGAAGCCTTTTTAAGGGTTCAATAAAAAGAACCCTTTAGGGTTCTTTGTAACCAGGAAAAAGGTTCTACATGGAACCTTTTGGGTTCATTCATTATCATTTGTTTTGTTCTTTCTGGATTAAATATTTCATATTATTGACAAACATCAAGACCCCAAAATGTATTTATGAATACATGTGTTTCAGGATATGGGGGTTAGAAAATGTATATATTTATATCATTTTATGTAGTTAGTCAATATCACATGAAGAGTGCCATTTCAGTTTTTCTCCAAAAATCCGCAGTATATTTTATAAGCAGTATATTTTATAAGCACCAATTGTTCGTTGTGTGTTTGTTTCTACCTCTGGAGGGCAGCAGTGCATTACTATGCTCTCTGAAATACAGCACAGTTTGATAATGGTGTTAGGTAACCTCACATTTTAAATGAACGGAAAGATCTGTCCTCTGCCTCCACAGCTGGAGATGATTGTTCCTGAAAAAGATTGGATTGAAGGAAGGGTTTCCTGCTCTCAGTAAAGTTTAAGATGTCACCAGTGTGTGAAATTAGAAGAGCTTGATTACTGATGCTAAATCCCTTGAAGGACTGGAGTGGAGCCTATAAAACCACATCTTGCACATAATATGCACATACAGTTGTGGTCAGAATTATTGGCACTGTTGGTAAATATGGTCAAAGAAGGTTGTGAAAATAAATCTGCATTGTTTATCTTTTTGATCTTTTATTAAAGTTAATTATACTCGTTTTATTAAGTTTTATCAAAGTTAATTATACATTAATTATACTCGTTGGAGTATAATTAATGAATGTGGGGGATTTTTTTTCTTCTTCTCCAAAACACGTTGGCCACAATTATTAGTACATTCTTAGAGTAAAATTAATTTTTTTTAAATTAATTTTTGGTATGTTTTAGCTTACCTCAAAGGCATCCAGGTGTAGGTGTCTTTGTTTCCACAGTATTTTCAATTTTGATATTTTTAGGTCAAACCGTTCTTGTCTGTCAGTCATATAATGCAGGTCTATGGTCACCACCTCAATTCTTCTGTATTCTGTGTTCAGATTAAACTAAAAAAAGAGCTTTTTGGCAGCAGACCCACCACATGGGTTTGGTGTGGATGGGAATAAAAAGTACCCCATGTGTACAATCAAATATCTTTAATGTTGTAGGCCTATTTTTCTGCCGGAGATCCTGGACATCTTGTTCAGATACAGGTATCATGGATTCGATCAAATACCAACAGATCAACCAAAATCAAAATCAAAACCTGACCTCTTCTGCTAGAAATCTTATTATGAGCCATGGTTGGTTCTGCCTTGTCCCTTCCAGTCCCCTGACCCGAACACAACTGAAGAGTAGAGCGTATCAACATGAAATTAGGATCTGGAGAGATTCTGTATGAAGATTGGTCTCTGACCTCCAAACTCATCAGGCATTATAGGACTCAAAAGCTGCTATCTTGGCAAAAGGAGGTTGTAAAAGTATGAAATGAACGGGTGCCATTCTGGCCAATGTGGATTAGAGAAAAAGCTTTATTTAATGATGAGATTTCCCCCACGTTTTCAGTTGGTTTACTCCGAATTTTATATAGGTTAATAAAATGTCTTGAATGAATTTTACAGGCTTCTTTGTTCACATTTATCAAGGATCAACTCTGGGAAACTTAAAAATGTCCGTGTTGACCAAGAGAGGGCAGCAAAGCTTTTTCAAGTCTGATAGTATGTTGTGTAATTGTTAGAATAGAAACAAAGGAGAACTATTCTGGCATGTTCTTTTGCAGGTGAATTATATTACACATACTAAATCGCACAAGAGTGCTTTAAAAGAAAAGTAAACTTGCTTTTGAGTGTTTGTTTGCAGGCTTTTAAAGTAAACTTGCTTTTGAGTGTTTGTTTGCAGGCTTTTCTCTGTCTGTTCAAATTGTGCTGGTATCTTGATCTAAAAAAAGTGTTAAAATGTAATGCAGTTTGTTGTCATTGAATCTCTTTACCAATTCCGTGGTACTCTCTCATTGGATATTGCTTTCCGCCATTGACTCTGTATTTGCTTTGAGTAGCGACAGCGCGGCCGCCCTGGAGTGCCTGGATTTTCTCAAACGTGGATTCCCGCTGTGATAGTGTTCAGACGGCCGATTGCACCGTTGAAAGTGAGATCAGGCTGGATTGCTTTGTTTAAAGACGGGCTTGGAAATGCTTTTAAGATGCTGATAGCTTGTTAAGGACACAGCACGGGCTCCGCAGGGTTCAGCAGAAGTGTCACACAAGGACTATAAGGGGGATTCCAGCTGTCACGAGAGTGTGGTGTATAATTTAGAAATCGCACCTCTCTTCATCGCTCTCCATCTCCGTCTGCCACTATACCCTCCTTGTTCTCATCTCTGCTGTGTCTTTATTCAGATTTTGATTCATTTAAATGGATAGTTCACCTAAAAATGAGAATTCTGTCATCATTTAATCACTCTCATGTCATTCCGAAACTACTTGGGACATTGTTTATTCTGTGATCCAAGCTGCTTTTTTCATCCAATGAAAGTGAATGGGGACCAGGGATGTCGAACAAGATTATCAGCGAATAAAGACTTGTATTCTATGTCGGTCGGTCTGTTCCTGCACATAATGATAGTATTCAGAAGACTTAAAGGGATAGTTCACTTTGAAATACATTTTTGGTATGTTTTAGTTTACCTCAAGGGCATCCAAGATGTAGGTGTCTTTGTTTCCACAGTAGTTTCAATTTTGATATTTTTAGGTCAAACCGTTCTTGTCTGTCAGTCATATAATGGAGGTCTATGGTCACCACCTCAAAGAGCATGCACAGAGAAGTCCGAATTAAACAAAATGTAAGTACTGATGGCCTAAGATACGAAACGATCGGTTTGTGTGAGAAAACGAACAGTATTTATATAATTTTTACCTCTTGTTGCGCCCACGCCCTCAGATCGCTTGAACGTGGCTGTGGTTACAAGAGGTAAAAACGATATAAATACTGTTCGTTTTCTCACACAAACCGCTCGTTTCGTGTCTTAGGCCATCAATGTGTACTTACATTTACGAGTCATTAAATCATGTTTAATTTGGACTTCTCTGTGCATGCTCTTTGAGGTGGTGACCATAGACCTCCATTATATGACTGACAGACAAGTACGGTTTGACCTAAAAATATCTAAATTGAAACTACTGTGGAAACAAAGACACCTACATGCTTAAACATACCAAAAATGAATTTCAAAGTGAACTGTCCCTTTAAATATAATATAATACATCAGTCATCAGTCATATGGGCTACTTTTTTGAAGGTTTATTGAGCTTTGGTGACCATCCAGTCTCAGTTTATGAAAGAAAATATGATGTTCGGTTAAACCTTTTCTCTTGTGTTTCCATGTGATTTACCTCGCATTATCTCACGGCTCTCCAGAGAGAGAAAAAAAAGTAATTTTGTGAGTTTGTTCTTGTAGGCAGAGCAAAGCAGCGCAAGGGAATCAATTATCTCTCTTTTGTTTTGTAATACAGTTCAATTCAAATATATATAAAGCAAAGTTCTCCCAAATATATATATATTTTTAAAACATTTATCCACACTGTAATTTTAGGGGGTTGTGACTCTTTCAAGAACAGAATCTGTCGG